GAGGTTTGCCTGAACGCGCGGAGGTTTACCTGAACGCGCGGAGGTTTACCTGAACGCTCGGAGGTTTACCTGAACGCTCGGAGGTTTACCTGAACTCCCGGAGGTTTACCTGAACGCGCGGAGGTTTGCCTGAACGCGCGGAGGTTTGCCTGAACGCGCGGAGGTTTGCCTGAACGCGCGGAGGTTTGCCTGAACGCGCGGAGGTTTGCCTGAACGCGCGGAGGTTTGCCTGAACGCGCGGAGGTTTACGTTTTGGTTTCTCTGGAGGTTCTGATAGTTCTGATCTCTCAGCAGACCGACCCGCCGGTCCCGTGTAAATGTAGTCCGTGTTGTGGTGGAGGTGACGGAGGTGTGAACAGTGACGTGTCGTGTTTGAACCCACAGGCGGCGCTCTCTCATCGGTGTCTGTAGAAACAGAGACATTTAAACTTTATTAGATTTTTTAGAGTCTTATTTAGCATTTTTAAAGTCTGTAAAAGATTTCTGTGAATTTGTTTAATTTCAAAGTTTTCATGTTTTTATTTTCTTACTGCAATAAAAGTTTTTTCAGTTGACGGCACGAACACGTCCCGGTCTGTGTTCCTGATGGTGGGTCTTGTAACGTGCCTTGGAGCTCAGTCCGTTGTAATAAATTCCTTTGGTTTGAACCTTTCCTGACTTTTCTTCTGTCTCTCTGAACCGACAGACCGGCCGACCTTTATTCTGAAAACCAGCAGGCTCAAAGGTGTTTATTTCAGGAGATGAAGTCAGTTTCATGATGGCTCATGATTCCTGATCAGCGTCAGAAAGCAACAGAGGAAGTAATGTGTGTGTAGAAATACTCTGATACAAGTAAAAGCATTAATATTTGTACTGTAGTAAAAGTATTGGCATTAAAATTTACTTTAAGCACCAAAAAATACTGCAGAATAATATATATTACTGATGTATTACTTCTGTCTTGTGATCATTGATGTATTCATGGGGGTCAGGACGGGGAGACGGCAGCAGGCATGTTATTGGCTGATGGTTACCATGGAGACCACAGCTGCTGGCAGGAAGGGGAGAGAGTAAGAGAAAAAAATGAGCACAGCGGAGTGTATTAATACACACAGTGTGTACTGTGTACTGCTCCTGGCTGCAGTGCAGTATTCAGCAGCAGTAGCTGTAGTATCAGTAGAGGTAGTACTGACTGTAGTACATCTGCCAGTACTCAGTACTTTCATAGGTAACAGAAGCAGCAGTATTTGCAGTAATAATCGCCGTAAAATACCCGTGGGTTTATCACTGTGCACTGTAGTACTTGTGTATCCTTGTGTATGTGCAAGTTAACCTGCAGTATCAGCGCTGAACGGATGCTGCCCGCCCGCCCGCCTGGGGTTGCCATGGTTACCAGCCTCCTCGTTTATTCAGGGATGAGCTCATTTGAATGTGAGCGAGCTGATGAGCCTGCAGGCACTGAGGTCAGAGGTCAGGCCAGGTTGCCCCCCCCCCCCCCCCCCCCCCCCACCACGGTGATGTGTTTGTGACGCTGGCGGTCAGACAGACGGCGTCACGTGAACAGGGGCCACTTTACCATCTACCCCACATGTAACCTGCCAGGGTCCGTGTTCAGCCCACCAGGGTCCACACGGGTCCTGGTTTACAACATGTGGTCCCACGTTTATCCCTCATCATCATTCATGTTGTAAATCCTCCATTTTACCTGAGGGAGGCAGAGAGGATGATGGGAAACCACAAGGACAAAATGAAAGAAGAGCTTGACACACATCAATATTCAGCTCCACCCGTTACTACACAACTCATGAATTATTGGAGGCACGTGAAGGTCTGCAGAGAGGAGAAGCCCTTTTCACCCCCCCCTCTCAGCATCTCTGCTCACTGTTGCTGTGGGAAACCACTGAGCTGTTGCCTAGTAACAGCAGCGGCGGCGGCGGAGACTGTCTGCCGCAGCTGTGTATGAATGACGGAGCGGGAGGTTATCGTGGCGGCCATTTTATCTCCACCCATCCCCTGCACGCACACTGTGGTGTCCTCTGATTGGCTGCAGACGCAGCAGACGGTAGCGAGACTGGGTAAACGCCAGCCGTCGCTGCTGCCTGGGTGTGTGTGTGGTGATGATGATGATGATGATGTATCCATTAAAGCATCAGAAGGCGCCACAGGTAGCAGCTCAGGTGTTGAGGGCTGTGAGCGTCACTGTTTCATGTTCAGTGATCTCCGGCGCCGCGTCGTGAAGCGCAGTGAGCTGCGACTGTCAGATTTCCCCGTCTGGTGTCAGTTCCCGGTCGTCCAGGTGAGGCTGCTTTTTACAGACTCGCCTCTTCCTGTCCTGATTATCTGATCAGCCGAGTTTATGGATCAGGTCAGCAGCTGGGAGTGAATGTGCAGAGCGCCATCTGCTGGACCACAAGGCAAACTAGCTCAAACCCAGCGCTGCCGAAACACTTATTATATTTCTTGCCACGTCTGAACAAACCTCTGAGTAAAAGGACCCTGCTGCAGACAGCTGGTCCATATCTGTCAACACAGACGCTCAGAAACTGGGATTCTGAGATTCTTTGGACAGTTTTCTGACTTTTTGTAAACTAAACAATTATTAAATTGTTGTTGATTAATTCTTTGTTGACTGAACAGACTCGTCCTCAGTCTGACTCTGAACTCTGCCGATCTCTGTTGGTCTTCTTTTATTCAGAGATGCACGGCATTCCAGAGGTCCCGGCGTTTCCCCGGGACCCCAGCCAGCGGCGTCTGCCAATCACAGTCAGGCGGTGGCGAGGAGAGCCAATGAGATGCTGAGGGAGATGGGACGTTTGAAGAGCGAGATGAAGATGCTGCTGACGGTGAGTTCCCCCAGAAACCTTCAGCACCTCGACCCTCACGTCTTTTATCATGTACTTAAACGGCAGGAAGTGGCGTTTTCTGGTGTTTTGAATGAACTCTGAATGACTTTCTGTCGTCCAGCAGCCAGAAGACTCTCTGAACACCACCAGACCTGGACCAGACCACAACCAAGCCCAACAAAACTTACTTCAGTCCCAGCAATCCCACTCCCAACGCAACCATCCCAAATCCTTCCAGCCCAGGTCCCAACAAACTGAACCCCAGCAGTCCCAGACACAACCCAGGTCCCAGCAGTCCCAGACACAACCCAGGTCCCAGCAGTCCCACTATCAATCTAAACCAGTCCAGCTCCATCAAAGCCCTTTCCAACAAACCCAGTCCCAGCAGTCCCAGTCCGTACTGGTCCAGAGGAGGCCTGTGGTTCCGTCTGTGTTGGAGGAGGCGGGTCAGGTTCTCCGTCAGGTTCGGAGACAGAAGAAGGTTCTGGAGGAGAACCTGGAGGCTCTGCTGAGAGCCAGAACCGGAGAGGTCCTGCACTGCCAGCTGGAGGCGCTGGCTGCTAACAGGTAGCTAATGCTAGCTTCCTGTCGTAATGCTAATGCTAATTATCACTGATGAGTGAAGCTTAGACGAAGGGCTGAAAACAGGCGGGAGGAAAAACAAAGACAAGAATAATAATAAGTAGAAATCCAAAATCCAAGAATCAGAAATACTTTATTGATGCCAGAACAATGATAGAAAGTAAGAAAAGAAGCAGCTGAGATCACAAACGGACGTCACTTCACTTCTGTTTTGTGTCCTCTGTCCTCTGCAGGGACGGGACCGAGGAGGTCCGGATCAAGAAGACCGTGGACGCCTGGATCAGCTCCTTAACCAAAGACATCCAGGTGAGCTCCCAGCAGGGTCGTCCTGGAATTCCAGGATAACCCTTGATGTGACTGTGACTGTTAGAGTTGGAGACTGGAGTTTTGCCCTGCGCTGGTTTCTGATCTCAGCCCTGTAACTCCTGCCGGACTCACAGCGGACAGTTTTCTCCAACGTTATCGTGAACTTGATGTAGGATCAGGTTTCAGACCCTTTGTGTCTCTGGGGAAGCTTGTGGATTCCTCTGTGTGTTTTCATGTCTTCTCCTCTATGGAGTCAGATTTGTGCCAATTTTGTCAAACAAAGCTTCTTAAAGATCAAACAGAACATAAGAAGCTGAGAGGACATTCAGCGCTATTGGCTGCCGCAAACGTCAATCAATACTTGCGACAGGTCCGTCCCTAGCTTTGTGTTTTAACAGGAAACGCGCATGTACAGAAGCAAATAGCGCTCCGGTTTCCGTTTCATGGGAACTTTAAACTCTAAAGCAAAAAAAATGAATCTCCAAAGTGAAACAAACTGCTGGTCTCTTACCGCCTGCTCTCTGGCTGACGGTAGGCGCTTTCTCACTGCCCAGAATTCCGGGATTATTACGCCAACATGGCGGCTCGCTGCGCTCTGTGAAAGGTACCGACCCGGAAAGGGGGGTCTGATCTGATCCGCCTCTGAGCCGGGAATGTCGGTAGGAGGCGGAACGATGTCGGTGTGAAAAGCCGACGTTTCAACGCTGTTGTGTCACAAACTTTTATTAACCGTCTAACTCCGAAAGCCCAACGACTCCGGCTGCTTCGTTCGGGCTCCAGCCCGGCGTCAACGTCCACCGCAAGCGTCTCAGCGTCGACTTGTTGTTAATTTGTCATTTGCCGCAGCTCTGTTTGTTCCGTCGCCTGCGGGCTGCAGACCCACAGGGAGCATTTCAGAATCAGAGTGTTCTGCCTGATTTTGCCGACATCGCCTGGAATCAGTGCTTGAGTTTGTGCTTCTACTGTGATTTAAATAGTTAAATGGATTCTTTTTTTCAGGGTATTTTATTTAGAAAATTGACGGGAGGAGCCCGGAGGTTCTTCTGTGCTTCAGAGTTTTTCTATCAACTTCTTATTTTTTGTTTCGTTTGACTAAATTGGCACAAATCTGACTCCGTACTCGTCCTGCTGTCCTCAGGCTGAGCTGTCCTCAGATGTTCCCTGCAGAGCTGCAGACTCTGTCAGACGCTCAGCCAGCAGAGACGCTGCGGTGACATCACAGCAGAGGGCTGCTGGGAGCTCCGCCCACAGGGGCAGGGGGAGGCCAGTGAGCGCGCCCAGAGCAACAGGAAGTAAGACTGCGGCGGGACGAGGAGAAAGAGGACGGACAGCCGGACGCAGACAGGTCAGACTGGGCTCTATTCTGATCGATGTGAGTGATTTGATCTGTGGCGTACAGGTGAGCACTCCTTGATCGTTTCAGGGGGCGGAGCCTGACAGAGACTCAGGTGGGCGGACAGACAGCGACCCTGCGATGGACGGAGTGTCGTACCTGACTCGTCTGTACGGCAGAGCCCCGTATGAAGGTCTGAGACGGACCCTGAAGAAGAGTCCGTACCTTCGCTTCAGCTCACCTGGCTCACCGCCCGGCAGGAAGTCCCGCCCCCGGCTGGTGGAGAGCGTCAGAGGTCAGAAAACTTGTTAAACGATAAATAGCGTACAGAGCAGCGGACACGAGTCGCCTCTATCCTCAGTCACCGAGCAGAACTGTCCAATCAGAGCTCAGCTGTAACACACCTGTTGGTCTCACACGTCTGAGTCCAGCTGTCTCTTCCTGTCTCCATCAGGTGTGAAGCTGAAGTCCTGTAAGACTCAGACGTGTTTGGCTCCTCCCCTCAGTCTGTCACCTGGACGACCTCAGCACCATTACATCATCAGCTCCTCCCACCTGACCTCTGGTGACCCCGTTGACCTGACGGTGACCCCTGCAGACAGTCACTCTGTTCCCGTGGCGATCCCACTGGGTCAGTAAACAAACAGAACAATAAGAGGCGCCGGTCTGAACATGCAGGACTCTGTTACCCAGAAATCCCTGCGTGGCGCTGGACAAAGTCTCTTTTAGCCTTTTATTAGTCTTCTTCTTCTTTTATTGAGAAATCAAAGAACGGCTTTGATCTCCTGCTGCTTCAAGATAATTCAATCAGCAACAGGAAATAAAAACCAAACAATATTAAAGAAAAGTAACAGAGAAAATAAAAATAATAAAACTGTAAAAAACAGTGAAATATTAATGCATATATTATGTTAACCCCCCGCCCCCCCCAGGTCGTCGCAGGATGGACTCTTCTTCCAGGCGCCTCACTGAACATCAACAGGAAGTGACATCACCACCCACAGCTCCTCCCACAACTAGTGCGGTTGCCGTGGATGACAGAACATCTGAGCTACAGTCACAAGTGAGTGAAATGAATGAATTTTGTTTTATCTTTTAAGCTTCGGCTTTATTGTTCTTCGACATTCATGCCAAGCAAAGCTGAACGGAACGCAGAGCCAGAGAGAAATGATTCTGTGCGTGTTGTGTTCACTGTCGCCTCGTAACTCGGGACGCCGTTGGAACGTGTTCAGAGGAGGAAGCAGGAAGTCGGTGTGAAGAGAGATTATAGATACATAGATCATAATAATAAAAACTTGTCTCGTCCAACTGCAGCCCAACGTGCGAATCAAAACAAGATCACCATAACAACAGAACAAACAAACAAACGTTCTGTCTGTTTGTACTCTGTGTGAGGTCAGAGGTCACCAGCTGTGTTTGTGTCCACAGGAGGCGGAGCAGCTGGACGCAGGTGAGGCTCCTCCTCCGTCACACACTGTTGACATCATCGAGCGGAGGAGTGACGAAGAGGAGGACGAAGAGGAGGACGAAGAGGACGTCTTCCCTGGAGCCGACTTCCTGTCTGTCACTGATGTTGTCCAGGTAACCCTCATCTTCCTCTCTTCTTCTTCTTCTTCTTCTTCTTTGTCTTCTCCTCCTCCTTCCTCTCCTCCTTCTTCTTCCTCTCCTTCTCCTCCTCCTCCTCCTCCTGCTCCTCCTCCTCCTTCTTCCTCTCTCCTTCTCCTTCTCCTCCTCCTCCTTCCTCTCCTCCTCTCCTTCTTCTCTCCTCTCCTTCTCCTCCTCCTCCTGCTCCTCCTCCTCCTTCTTCCTCTCTTCTTCTTCTTCTTCTTCTCCTCCTTCCTCTCCTTCTCCTCCTCCTTCTTCTTCCTCTCCTCCTCCTCCTCCTTCTTCCTCTCCTCCTTCCTCTCCTCCTCCTTCTTCCTCTCCTCCTTCCTCTCCTCCTCCTCCTCCTTCCTCTCCTCCTCCTCCTTCTTCCTCTCCTCCTCCTCCTTCCTCTCCTTCCTCTCCTCCTCCTCCTACTCCTCCTCCTACTCCTCCTACTCCTCCTCCTCCTCCTTCTTCTTCCTCTCCTCCTTCCTCTCCTCCTTCTTCTTCCTCTCCTCCTTCCTCTCCTCCTTCTCCTTCCTCTCCTCCTCCTCCTTCTCCTCCTTCTCCTCCTCCTGCCCTCCTTCCTCCTCCTCCTCCTTCTTCTTCCTCTCCTTCTCCTCCTCCTCCTCCTCCTGCTCCTCCTCCTCCTCCTCCTGCTCCTCCTTCTTCTTCCTCTCCTTCCTCTCCTCCTCCTCCTCCTCCTCCTCCTCCTCCTCCTCCTCTCCTCCTTCTCCTCCTCCTCCTCCTTCTTCTCCTCTCCTCCTCCTCCTCCTCCTCCTTGGTTTTGAGGTCATGCTTCAGTCAGTTTGGGTCGTTTACTGATTTCCGTCTGATCCAAACATGTGAAGTCGTTCTGCTGCAGCGTCTTTCTCCCGTCTGTCCTCTCTCTCAGCAGGAGGAGGTGAGTGTGGTCGGGGAGGAGGCTGTGGAGTTGGATGGAGGTCCGTCTCCCCCTCCGGTCCTGTATCAGGGTCCGGTCTTCCCTCCCCAGGCCCGCTCTGCCCTCCCTGCCCAGGATCAGGCCTCCGTCCTGGGCCTCGACCTGCGAAGAGACGCCCTGGAGAACCGGCTGGTGGAATGGTGAGAAACCGGTCTGAACTAGACCAAACTGGACTGAACCGGACCGATCCGGACTCAACTGGACTGAGCTGGATCCTGGTGGCCCTGACAGTTTGTTGGTTTTGTGTTCAGGGTGGAGCAGCAGCTGATGTCCAGGATGATCTCAGAGATGTGCCGCCCCCCTCCATCTGACCCCGCCCAGAACGACTCCACTGACCGATCAGAGCCCGAGGAGCGAAGCGTCACCTCAGACATCGGTGAGCACTGACGGACCAATCAGAACAGATTTGATCATAGCGATCGCTCATTGGTCCGAACAGCTCATGTTAAAGCACCAGGCTGCTTTTCTTCTGTACACCTGTCGTCTGTCTGACTTCCTGTCTGTGGCTCTCAGCCCAGAGTCACCTGACTCACCTGAACACACAGAGGTTTACCTGTGTGTGTGTTCATGTGTTCATGTGTCTGTGTGTGTCTGTGTGTTCATGTGTTCATGTGTCTGTGTGTGTGTGTGTGTGTGTCTGTGTGTTCATGTGTCTGTGTGTGTGTGTGTGTTCATGTGTTCATGTGTCTGTGTGTGTCTGTGTGTGTTCATGTGTTCATGTGTCTGTGTGTGTCTGTGTTCATGTGTCTGTGTGTCTGTCTGTGTGTTCATGTGTTCATGTGTCTGTGTGTTCATGTGTTCATGTGTCTGTGTGTCTGTCTGTGTGTTCATGTGTTCATGTGTGTTCATGTGTTCATGTGTCTGTGTGTGTGTGTGTCTGTGTGTTCATGTGTCTGTGTGTCTGTGTGTTCATGTGTTCATGTGCCTGTGTGTGTGTCTGTGTGTTCATGTGTTCATGTGTCTGTGTGTCTGTCTGTGTGTTCATGTGTTCATGTGTGTTCATGTGTTCATGTGTCTGTGTGTGTGTGTCTGTGTGTTCATGTGTTCATGTGTCTGTGTGTTCATGTGTTCATGTGTCTGTGTGTGTGTCTGTGTGTTCATGTGTTCATGTGTCTGTGTGTTCATGTGTTCATGTGTCTGTGTGTGTGTCTGTGTGTTCATGTGTTCATGTGTCTGTGCGCAGTGGAGGCAGCAGGAGGTGCAGGTCTGCAGCTGTTTGTAGACTCCAACATGTCGGTGGACTCGGCTCTGATCCGGCAGCTGGTGAATGAGGTTCTGACAGAGCACGTGGCCCGGATGCTGGGACACAGAGACACACTGGAGACAGGACCAGCACCCGAACAGGAGCAGCCCAGACCAGGTCCAGGAGCCAATCAGGAGGTAGAAACACTCGGGACAAACACCAACCGAAACACCTTCAGTCTTCAGTCTGTCTGAATCCTGCTGCTGGTTCTGTTCCAGGAGAAACTGGTACCACTGGTTCCTACACCGGTACCAACCCCTCCACCCAGCCTGACCCCGCCCAGCAGAGAGACTCTGCCACGCCTGACCACACCCCCTCCCTCTGAACCAACCAGCCTGCTGCACGAGGAGTCTCCTCAGCCAATCACAGCAGCAGGTCAGACGCAGCAGCATTAGTGTTAGCATGAATAGCATTAGCAGCAGCATTATTGTTAGCATGAATAGCATTAGAAGCAGCAGCATTAGTGTTAGCATGAATAGCATTAGCAGCAGCATTAGTGTTAGCATGAATAGCATTAGCAGCAGCAGCATTAGTGTTAGCATGAATAGCATTAGCAGCAGCAGCATTAGTGTTAGCATGAATAGCATTAGCAGCAGCATTAGTGTTAGCATGAATAGCATTAGCAGCAGCAGCATTAGTGTTAGCATGAATAGCATTAGAAGCAGCAGCATTAGTGTTAGCATGAATAGCATTAGCAGCAGCAGCATTAGTGTTAGCATGAATAGCATTAGCAGCAGCAGCATTAGTGTTAGCATGGATAGCATTAGCAGCAGCAGCATTAGTGTTAGCATGGATAGCATTAGCAGCAGCAGCATTAGTGTTAGCATGAATAGCATTAGCAGCAGCAGCATTAGTGTTAGCATGAATAGCATTAGCAGCAGCAGCATTAGTGTTAGCATGGATAGCATTAGCAGCAGCAGCATTAGTGTTAGCATGAATAGCATTAGCAGCAGCAGCATTAGTGTTAGCATGGATAGCATTAGCAGCAGCAGCATTAGTGTTAGCATGGATAGCATTAGCAGCAGCAGCATTAGTGTTAGCATGGATAGCATTAGCAGCAGCAGCATTAGTGTTAGCATGAATAGCATTAGCAGCAGCAGCATTAGTGTTAGCATGAATAGCATTAGCAGCAGCAGCATTAGTGTTAGCATGGATAGCATTAGCAGCAGCAGCATTAGTGTTAGCATGAATAGCATTAGCAGCAGCAGCATTAGTGTTAGCATGGATAGCATTAGCAGCAGCAGCATTAGTGTTAGCATGAATAGCATTAGCAGCAGCAGCATTAGTGTTAGCATGAATAGCATTAGCAGCAGCAGCATTAGTGTTAGCATGGATAGCATTAGCAGCAGCAGCATTAGTGTTAGCATGAATAGCATTAGCAGCAGCAGCATTAGTGTTAGCATGAATAGCATTAGCAGCAGCAGCATTAGTGTTAGCATGAATAGCATTAGCAGCAGCAGCATTAGTGTTAGCATGAATAGCATTAGCAGCAGCAGCATTAGTGTTAGCATGGATAGCATTAGCAGCAGCAGCATTAGTGTTAGCATGGATAGCATTAGCTGTGTAAATGTGATTTCAGAATTTATTTTGCTTTTCTTGTGAGTTTCAGCGCCGAACTGCTCGCTGAGTCAATAAACACAACCCGCCATCTCTGCAGCTGGAAGAACCTAAACTAAACATTTAGCTGTGTTTCAATAAGTAGGCAGCTGATGACGGTTTGTCTCTGTCCGTCTGTGACCTCAGAGCCTGTGACCACGCCCACCTCCAGCCCAGAGCCCTCCCTCTCTCCAGGAAGTCCTCCTGCTGTTCATCAGGCCCCGCCCCCTCTCAACTGGGGAGACGCTGAGCTGCCATTGGACGAGGAGAGACCAGAGGAACACCTGGATACACACGCACAGCCGCTGTATGTACACAAACAAGCACACACCTCCAATGAAAGACACAATCCAGGTGCATTGTGGGAAATGTAGGATCCAGTGGTTTTGGAGTCTGACTTGTACTAATTTATTATGTAATAGTACGTATACACAGAATTACACACAACTATTTGATCATTAATTGGTGACAAAGCTTCAGATGTGATGCTTCGCTGCTCGTCTTCATCACACGGGACGGAAAACATTTGGAGTTCTGTTTCATCCGCTAATCAATTAAATCAATCAATTAAAAAAAGGAATCTGCAGATTAACTGTTAATGTTAAACACATGCAGACGCAGAGCAGATTTAGAGACTTCAGGTGTTCCTTAGTGGACAGGAAGTGCGTCCTCTAAACGTCTAACCGTGCCTCCATCCTGCAGGGTGATGTCAGTAGCAGAGGAGGAGCCTCCTCCCTTCTCCCCTCTTCCTTGTCCTTCTCCCTCCGCCCCTGCTGCTCCCTCCCCGTCTCCTCCTCCTCCTCCGGGTCCGGCGTCCCCGTCCAGCTCCTCAGGGGACTCCAGCAGCTCCAGCAGCAGCAGCAGCAGCAGCAGCAGCAGCGCGGTGACGGCCGGGACAGAAGCTGCACTCAAACACATCTCAGAGGGAGAACTGCTCATCAGTGTCAACCAGCTGGCTGCCACCACAGGTAGCATCTTCACCCCCATCACTTCTTTTCCATGGAAACCTACATGAAATCGCTGACGATGCTTTTTAATGGAAATAATAATTGTGTCCCTCCGAACTTTGCTTTCATCGAAACCTTTGGCATTCCAGTTGTCAGTTTGTTGACGTAATCTGCTCAGCAGTTGAGATCTGGTGACTACAGACAGAATACCAGCTGACTGCTTCTTCCCTCAGTAGTTCTTGTGCAGTTTGCAGCTTTGCTTTGGGTCGTTGTCCTGTTGTAGGAGGAAACTGGCTCCAGTCCGTCCTCAGGGTGTGACCCGGCGTTACAAAATGAAGTGATAGCCTTCGTTCATCAAGATCCCTGCGCCCCTGTGCGAGTCTCCAACTAAACTTTCTACTGCTTTCTGTTGTGGTTAGAGCCGGTTTGTTCTGTGAAGGGAGGAGGAAACAGCATCTTCGGGTTCTTCCCAGTTTCTCTCCTGGAACGGCTTCATTTCTCAGAACAAGAACGGACTGACGAGCCTCTGATGGAACCAACAGCTGCTGACGCTAACGATGATTTTAGTATCCGAGTATTCTACAGATTATTTCATGGATTCATCCAGTAATCGTAGAAGAAGTACTTTTGCTTGGCGGAGCGTCGTCCCCCTGGATCAGCTGGGTAATTCACGAGTGTGACGTTACAACCTAAACTCACGGCCGACCAGCAGAACAACAAACGCACCAGTTCTCAGCTTACTTTGGCCTCAACTCAACAGTCAGTCAGGATTTCAGTCTGTGGTCCGCTGGCAGAACACCGGCTGCTTTCTGATCAGCTGCCGTCGTGCTGTTGCCAAGGCGACATCAGTTTGGTTGTACGGTGGTCGGACGGTGACATTACAGAGTTGTTGTTTTCTTTAGCTTGAAATAATCCCAGACTTTTCTCTCCCTTCCTCCACTTTGCAAACAGCGCCATCATCATCAGCTCGTGTTCACAGCGTCAGCGCGATGTGCGACAGTAATAAATGTCCGTGTGGAACAATGTGCTGTACAGTTATATGAATTAAACAAAGCGTCGATTCAAAGAATTTGTTGATGCTTTTTAGTAATCGAATTATTTGAATTTATCGCTGAATCGTTTCAGCCCGACTCCAGATACTCAGCTAGTCTTAAGGTCGGTTTTATTGCTTCTTTTATTTAGCTGTGCTGCCATGACTTTTCTAACGGTCGATCAGCCTTTAAACTGATGAGCTTGGATCAGCAAACACAGCGTGCAGTTGTAGCACAGGGCCGATGGCTGCTGAGAACGGCCTCTGTACATACATTAATGTCCACAAAGACATTTCCAAGCGTGTCCAAACTTTAGAACGGTACATCATAAACAACACTGAAACTCCCAGATAATCTGAAGTCTGTCTTCTTCTCTCAGAGGAGGCGGCGGTCTGCAGTTTCTCCAGCTCCCTCCAGGAGCTGCAGGAGATGGTGAGGAACATCATCAGTGATCACAGCTCACTGTAGTGGTGCTACTTCTACTACAGTAGTAGTATTTCCTGTCTGTTTTTTCACTACCTGTCCCTCCTCCAGGACTTTGACCCCCCCAGTGAAGGACAGGTCAGAGGTCACGACCTCCTGCTGACCCTGCTGACCAAGATGGAGCAGGGAGTCACACACAGAGGAGAGAGACCACAGCCGGAGGTACACGCACACACATACACACACACACACACTCACACATCTCCTGACCTCTGACCTCTGACCTGCTGTGTGCTCAGGGCGCCTGGGGGAGGGATCAGGAGGAGGAGGAGGAGGTCAGCGTGGGAGAGGTGAGAGACGATCAGACTACAAATCCCAACACTTACAGCAAGAGTACAGCAGCCCAGCGGGGTCAGACCTCCTCACCTGGACAGATCAGTCAGTGTGCAGGTAAGACTGCCTTCAGACACCAGCTGAGGGCAAAAAACACACATATTAATGTTGACTCTGAACACTAAACTGTTTCCTGGGCCATTTAAAACACGACATCGTCTGTAAACAACAACAGTATCGGTGACATCACATGTCTGTTTCTTCCAGATGTGTCTGAAGTCAGTTTTGAAGCGACGAATCAGGGCTCGGTCACCGTGGGCGACCTGATGGTGGATCCAATCGGGACTCTGACCTCTGACCTGCAGACCGACCTGTCGCTGTCTCCTCCCCCACACCTGGAGAACCCACACACTGCAGTCCTGGTCCGGCAGTACGACCCACAGACAGGTAGGGAGCTCACAGTTTGAAGTGGGGCTGAGGGCCCGTCCACATACTTTTGGCCACATGGTGTGTGACTGTTAATCCCAGGGTGACCACCAGAGGGCGCCGTTTCTGTCGTGCTCACTGTGAAACAGTCCTCTGTCTCTATACACCGGTGGTTCTCCACCTTTTCCTTCTATGGGGAGCAGAATATAAAAAAGAAGCCACGATGAATTCGATTGAAATAAAATAAATAATTCAGGTCAGCACTTGCTTATGAACACAAATAGCTAATCAGCCAATCACATGTCAGCGCCTCAGTGCATTTAGACACGTAGACGTGGTGAAAACAACTTGCTGAAGTTCATACGGAGCATCAGAATGGGGAAGAAAGGGGATTTAAGTGACTTTGAACGTCTCATGGTTGTTGGTGCCAGACGGGCTGAGTATTTCAGAAACCGCTGATCTCCTGGGATTTTCACGCACAACCATCTCCAGGTGCTCCAGCGGAGCAGAGCAGGCTCAGTTCAGTGATTTACAGTGGCTGGTTTCTGGAACATGACATGAGTTCACTGGAGTCCAGAGGCCTCCACAGGCACCAGATCTCAGTCCAACAGAGCCCCTTTGGGATGTGGTGGAACGGGAGATTCTCATCGTGGATCTGCAGCTGACAAATCTGCAGCACTGTGTGATGCTGTCATGTCAACATAGACCAAAGTCTCTGAGGAAGGTTTCCAACACCTTGTTGAAAGGATGTCATGAAGACTTAAAGCAGTTCTGAAGGCAAAGGGGGTCCAACCCGGTACTGGCAAGGTGTTCCTAATAAAGTGGCCAGTGAGTGTGTGTGTGCATGTACAGTGCCTTGCGAAAGTATTCGGCCCCCTTGAACTTTTCGACCTTTTGCCACATTGCAGGCTTCAAACATAAAGATATAAAACTGTAATATTTTGTGAAGAATCAACAACAAGTGGGACACAATCATGAAGTGGAACGAAATTTATTGGATATTTCAAACTTTTTTAACAAATAAAAAACTGAAAAATTGGGTGTGCAAAATTATTCAGCCCCCTTAAGTTAATACTTTGTAGCGCCACCTTTTGCTGCGATTACAGCTGTAAGTCGCTTGGGGTACGTCTCTATCAGTTTTGCACATCGAGAGACTGAAAGTTTTGCCCATTCCTCCTTGCAAAACAGCTCGAGCTCAGTGAGGTTGGATGGAGAGAGTTTGTGAACAGCAGTTTTCAGTTCTTTCCACAGATTCTCGATTGGATTCAGGTCTTGACTTTGACTTGGCCATTCTAACACCTGGAGATGTTTATTTGTGAACCATTCCAGTGTAGATTTTGCTTTATGTTTTGGATCATTGTCTTGTTGGAAGACAAATCTCCGTCCCAGTCTCAGGTCTTTTGCAGACTCCATCAGGTTTTCTTCCAGAAT